TGCAATGCACTTGAAAGGCTTCATCCTTAGTTCGGGCAGAGTTGATAGCATATGGGAGGTCAACGAAGTTGACACTATTGCCCGGCATCCCTTCAAGAGGCGCAAAGCGATACCAGACCTGGAGCTCAATTTGTGATTTGCCTTCAGTTTGTTTGAGCACCTTATCATACATCTCTTCAACCTTCAGCATTAAAGCTTGAAGTTGACTTATGCTGATCTTAGGCGCTCTGAGGCAAACAACACATCGATTCTCCTGATCAGTTAACGCAACGATGGGCTGCTGTGGCTTCCTAATGTGAGCCAGTCCAAAGTCTCGACTGAGGTGTTTAACTTCCTCGTCAAATGTTCCAACAGTGCCAGCGATAATGACTTCAGTATTGCCGGCTTCTTGCTTCATGGAAGGCGTTATGGCAATGTAGTAGCAAGTGTGATGGACAGGGTAGCTGCTGGGAATGTAAGTGACCAAATATACAAGTTCCCGCTTGCCCTGCACTTCAATGGCACCAATAACCGTCAGGCTGTGGATTTGACGAAGGAAGTCTTCATCATAACTCCTGAAGAGTACACAGGGGATGTCTGATATGGAAAGTGAGCTGTGCAAATTACTCACGATCGTTATACTCGTCTGTTGTGTAAGACCCTTCCTTAGATTGTGAAGGAAACTCTTACTAGGGTTGACGAGTAAGATAGAATGGAGCTCTGAGCCCTGCACTTGGCGCAATTCTTGCATAGTTTGTGTAGACACGATGCATCCATCTCTAAGATACTCCAGCAAATGTGTTGATGGTGTTCTGGCAAAGAGAGCATCATACTCAGTGAGATGACCCAACATAAAGTCGGCAAGACACTGAAATGCGCTTCCATCGATGTTGCTGATTCGATCTTGCGACATGGTGCAGATACCTTACGCCGAAGCTATCCGTACTGCACAATGCGCAAGACAAATTTGCCAAAAGGTGCAAATAAAGTAAAGAAGCTCCCACCCTTAAGAAGTTTGCAAGAAAGAGAACGTGCGTTCACACTCAGCAACTTAACAAGGAAGGAAACGGGCGTTCCCAACTTTAATAAAGAAAGGGAACACAACGTAAAAAGTAAGAGAAAGAGAACGGGCGTTCTCAATCTCAGCAAGTTGCAAGAAAGAGAAGCGTTAGAGAAAGAGAACGGGCGTTCTCAGTCTCACTAGTAAAGCAAGAAAGAGAAACAAAGAGAAAGAGAACGGGCGTTCTCAGTCTCGACTAGTTAGAGAAAGGTGGCAGGACAACTGAGGGCTCAGTTGACGCAACTTTCGAGCGCTCAACCCACAAAGACTCAAGGGAGAGCCAATGCAGCTTGCAAAGTGTTTACAGTGCAAAATCCAAAGCCAAGCTTTGGATTCTTCTTGCAAGCGGGCGCTCACAAGGAACTGCGCAATGCTAAGGAGCCCCAGCTACAAAGCAAACACAGCACCAAGCACACCTACGCCTCCAGGCTGTCCCAGAGGGGGCCGCTACCTACGTGTGGGTTCCAAGCAAAGCCAGACCTTTAGCTACGGACTTCCACCTTCTACTGCGTCCCTGGTGGCTTAACCACCCCGAGCAAAGCGGCCTTGAGCCAAGACTTGAGCCAAAGGGACTTGAGCCAAAGGCTACGGACGCAGCTCACGCAGCTCAGGTCAGAACAGAACCGGCGCGGTACGTCAATCTCCCCTTCTCGAAATCGCGCTGCCCGCCTGGTCCGTGCAAAACTTGATTTCAAGACCTTGTCGTGGATCGGATCGATCGATGGTTCTCGCGGCACTGGTTCGACGGCGTCTTGGCACCGGTTCCGCAGGGGGGACTAAATCGGCCCGAAAGTGCGTCAAAACACTAGCGCGGGGCACACTCGAAATCGGCGTTGCCCAAGGCCGTGGGGAAGGGCCGAAATCGACCTGCACCGCAGGAAGAGGTTGGAATTTGGGGTGCGGCATGGTTTTTAGGGCCAAAGGGCCAAAATAAGACGCCTGCCGTCAGAGTAACCGCGCAACATAATAATATGTGCGGAAATAGAAATGGAGCAGGCTTGCCAGGCTGTTATGGAGCACCCCACCAAGCATAACCTGGTGGAATGCTGGTCTTTAGTCACAGCAATGGAAGCACAAAGGGTTGAAAACGGGCTATCGGTGCTGGGTCTTATCTTCCGACCTGTCCAAAGCCTCGATCGCAAAGAGGCATGCGTGGCACTCAATCACTTTCTACGGGATCGCTTCCAGGGTGGGAAGTGGACATTGCTGGCAGTGATTCTAAATTCCCGCATCGGACTGCATTGCAACATGGGCAACATGATCGGCATGCCAAATCATGCTATTGCATTGGGGAACTTTACTGGTGGTCAAGTGTGGGTCGAAGACGATGAAGGCATGTTGCCGAACAAAGTCGTAATTGAAAAACAAAACTTATCAGCTTCGCGGCTTGGGGCACGATATGCATGACAAGCCAGTCTTGTTTAACGGCGGGTAAGCTGCGGGCGGAGCGGACTTTTGCGCGCTTTGCGCGCTAGCGCGTGCTAGAGCGCGCTTGAGCGCGGCGGAGCTTTGGAGTGTCTGCAAGGCGAGACGAGGCCTTTGGCATGCAGTTGGAAAGTGCTCGGCACTCAGCTTGTGGGTTGTTTGGCTGCAGCTTGTATATGCAGCCTTGAAGCAGCCGCGAATTCCCGTTTTGCAGCATTCTAGAGCCCCTGCGATCGCTTGAGCTAGCCGTAGGCACGAGAATCGACAGCTTTTCAAAATGCATAATTCTCATGCATCTCTTGTAACTGGGCCTGTAGCCACCACAGAGTGGAGAACTGGAACACCTTTTCTAGAGAGAGCGAAATGAATTTCATTCCGCCAATGGAAATCCCAGCGATGTTCTTCGCGTTTTTCATTGGAGCAGCGTCGAAAGGCCGTCAGCGTATACGCTGCAATCGCCTCTCAAGTCACCGCGCGGCTGTTTTGCAAGCACTTTAGAGCCCCTCCAATTGCAAGCTCTGCGGCCTCCGTGCAGAATCGACAGCCTCTCCAAATCATAATTCTTATCGACATCCCGTCACCAGCCTCTCTCCACCACAGAGTGAGAACTAGAACACCTCTTCTAGAGAGAGCTGAATTCAACCTGGGTTCAACTTGGATTCAACCCGGGTTCAACCATGTTCAACCCAGGTTCAACCCAGGTGCAATCCAGATTCAACCTGAGTTGAACTTGGATTTCAACAAAAACCTGGTTTAAACCCAGGTTCAGAGAATCCCAGAACGACACACCCTTCAATTAGTTCAAACCCAGGTTTAAACTCCATTTTTGAAAGGAAAAAAGTTCGAACTCTGGGTTGAACTTAGGTTCAAACCCCCCCTCCCAAGGCTTGACCATTGTTAAGCTTCCCTTGAATACAGTCCGCTTGTTTTTTCATTTGTTCTTGGGTTGTTGTGCTAGAAACAAAACCAATCTAAAGGCATCGTCGAACTGCGCCTTGATGGGCCCATCACCTTTGCTCAAAGGGGGGCTTAAGGGGGGGGGCTTCAGGGGGGGCTTAAGGGGGGGGCAAAGGGGGGGCCTTTGGAGAAGACCAGGGGCTTCAAAGGGGGCTTCAAGGGGGCTTCAAGGGGGGGGCTTAGGGGGAGGCTTAAGGGGGGGCTTAAGGGGAGGCTTAAGGGGGGCTTAAGGGGGAGCTTAAGGGGGGGGTTTAAAGGGGGCTTAAAGGGGGGGCTTAAAGGCTTAAAGGGGGCTTGAAGGGGGGCTTAAAGGGGGGCTTAAAAGGGGCTCTAAGGGGGCTTGAAGGGAGGCTTAAAGGGAGGCTTAAAGGGGGCTTGAAGGGGGGTTTAAAGGGGGGCTTAAAGGGGGGCTTAAAGGGGGGCTTTAAGGGGGGCTTTACGGGGGGCTTAAAGGGGGGCTTCAAGGGGGCTTTGAAGGGGGCTTTAAAGGGCTTAAAGGGGGGGGCTTAAAGAGGCTTGAAAGGGGGCTAGAGAGGCTTATGGGGGAGGGCTTGAGGGGGCTGAAAAAAGGGGGGCTCAAGGGCGACTCAACATTACTTTATCGTGAAGATGAAAGAGAAGGGATTTATTCTAAATTCCACCCCCTCGAATCTTGCTTTGTTTTTTGGATTTCGTTCTTCGAAACTAGAGAAGTGAGACTCTAACTTCCCTTTGAAAAGAGAGAGAAAGGAATTTATTCTAAATTCCACCCCCCTCGAAGCTTGTTATGTTTTTGTGTGTTTTTGGGATTTCATTATTCGAAACCGGAGAAGTGAGACTCTAAACATACATTTCCCTTTACGAAGCGAAAGAAGGGAATGTATTCTAAATTCCACCCCCCTCGAACCTTGTTATACATTTTGTGTTTGTTTTTGGATGTCATTCTTCGAAACCAGAGAAGTGAGACTCTAAACATTCATTTCCCTTACGAAAAGAAAGAAGGGAATGTACCGTCCGGCCATTCGCAGAGCTGCTATTCGGCAATTTCGATGGGTGACCGCTTCATCCAGATAGGAATGTGGCGTTTGGCTGACATTGATGGTACCCACTTCTCAGTTTCCCACAAGTGGGGCCAGGTGGCCGTCGTTTACAAGAGTGATGGCACAGTGCATCCAGGACCCCTGTCGTCCGATTTTTCTCCCTGGGGGAGATCAAGTGGTGACTCTAAGCACATCGCGTTCGGATTCCAGTTCATCCAAATTGGCGAATTTCGAATTGGAGCTGTGGATGGTACTCACTTTTCCGTCTCCCATCGCGGTGGAAAGACCGCACAGATCTTCAGAAGCGACATCACACTTCACCCCGGCCCCCGAACTGATTACTCAACCTTTGATCGCCCAGCAGACGCCGCCTCCGGAGTTTCTTTCGGCAAAAGGTTCATCCAGATCGGGGAGTTCCGCTTCGGTGATGTTGATGGTAACCACTTCACGATGTCGCACAGTGGGGGGAACATACTTCAGGTCTATAAATCTGATGGTAGGCTGAATCATGGGGTGCAGTACCAAACTGCTGATGATATAGAAACTCGGCGACCAGCGGCATGGACTTGTCAAAGCCTGGAGGCGTCTCGGACACAAATCATTGTCAAATGCAGACTAATAGCTGTGCAGGGATGATAATCGGCCTTGGCTTCAGGTGGCAAGAAATAGGGTTAACTGTTGACATCGGATCTCTATCAGAAGCAACCTTTCCAGCACCAGCTTTCTCCAAGGAGATGGCGCACGGGGGTTGCGATACCCGATATGTAAGCTTCGGCGATCGCTTCATTCAGCTGGGAAGGTGGCGCCTGGCCGCCATCAATGACCAGCACTTCTCCATTTCCCACAATGCCGGCCAGACTTCGGAAATCCACAGGCATGATGGCCGCTTCTTCACAGGACCAAGGACAGACTACAATGCCTGGGACAGGCCCATCGGCTTCCCGTATGGCATCACCTTTGGAGTTGGTTTCGTTCAAATTGGCAAGTTTCGGCTTGGCATGGTGGACGAAAGACACTTCTCCATTTCTCATCAGTCGGGATTTACATCGAAGATTTTCCGCGATGATGGGACCGTGTATGATGGGCCCCGCTCTGACTACGACCTCTGGAAAGTGCGCAGTAGTGGTCCAGCTGCTGGCATCACTTCGGGAGATAAGTTCCTTCAGATCGGAAGGTTCCGTCTCGGTGATGTTCATGGTCATTGGCTGACTCTCACACACAATTCAGGTTCAACCAGTCAAGTCTGGAAGTCGGATGGTACATTGCAGACTGGGCCTGGGCTGGACCATTGGACCCCCTATGTCGCACACCGCCACCCGAAGTGGCACTGTGGAAACATCCAGCAACTTGCTTAGAAATCTGTTGATGTTATGACTCAAAGTGCATATGTTTGTTCATGTCTCACTCGTTCAGGCTGGGGGGAGGCTAGATGGAGGGGGCAGGATGATTATGCTGATGGTTTTCGGGGGGCCTCCACATTCCAGGGCCCAGAGCCTTCAGTCCTCGACAACAGCCGCCTGATTGGCCAGTGTCGTGCCCATAGTGCGGACCAGCCTAGTAGTTTGGACAGTTTCGTGCGTACGTGTACTGTGTACTCACATCTTCGCTCGAACGGGTTCAGATCGGCAGCATTGGACATTCAACTCATGGTTCGATGGCTCGAGGCACGCATCTGGCACCTGCACCGGCATCACGGCTGGTTACAACTTCCTCCAAATCGGGGACTGGCGCTTGGCTCGAATCAACGACAGGCACTTCACCTTCTCACATCGAGGTGGTCAAACCCCCATGATCCTTGGAAAAGAGTAGACACGTCATCTCTACTTTCGTTTTTGTTGTCAGCTTTCGTGTTGAATAGCTTCCGGAATCGTGATTTGGCCGAGGATGTACAAATCTGATGGCACACACAAAAAAGGGCCGCGGACGAGCTTTGGCTCTTGGGGCTGGGAAGCTGGAAAGACGCCATCCTTTGGTGAAGTGCGATTTGGAGATCACTTCATCCAATTTGGACTCACAGCTTGCTTTTGAAAGCAGTTTGTGTGATTTTTGTTCTGCTCAGGGCTCTAGGCTAGGGGTCGTGGGCAACATGCTGCAGGAGAGTTTCGTCTTGGTGCAGTGGATGACAATCACCTCTCCGTGTCTCATTCGGGAGGCCTGACTGCGATGATCTTCGGGCAGGGAACTCTTCATCCTGGACCCCGTCATGACTACGGCTTGTGGGAGAAGCCCTTGGGGGAGCCCATGGGCGTGACCTTCGGAGATCGTTTCGTGCAGATCGGTAACTTCCGCCTGGGCGACGTGGACTCCAAGCACTTCTCAGTGTCTCATGTCACTTGGTACAGATTCCATGGGGGTCACCGGGGTCACTGGGGCAACATGGACCCAGGGAATCTCTGAAGTCATGTTACTTCGTTGTTCTTGTCATTGTTCCCTGGCGTGCCGAAGCTCTCCATTCTGTAGCTCAGCCCGTTTTTTCTCCGCGTATGTTCTTTGCAAATCTTTGAGTGCGTTGACGCATGATGCATCTCATGCTGTCAGGTCATTGGCAAGACAAACGTTGTCTTCAAAAGCGATGGTACAGTAAACGACTGGCCGGGAACAAGCTTCACCACTTTCGGGCGCCCCTTGGAAGAGTGCTTCGTGGCACCGCCGTGAGATATTTAAGAGAGCTCACGAAGGCACCCTCATATGTGGGTCCTGCGGCAGAGCAGCTGTCGGGATAAGCCTTCGAGCTCACGAAGGCACCCTCATATGTGGGTCCTGCGGCAGAGCCGCTGTCGGGATAAGCCTTCGAGGAGCAAGCGAGCTCAAGTAGCCACCCTCATATGTAGCTCCTGCGGCAGAGACGCTGTCGGGATAAGCCTTCGAGGAGCAAGCGTTGGACTTAGGAAAAGCCTTGGGAAGTTGTGGACTGATCATGGATCTTGTGACAACCTTGTGCTTGTTTTTTGACGCGTGAACTTGTTGACATCGGCTGTGCAGCTTCGTCGGTGCTTCAGGTTCTCGACAGACAACATCAGACAGCATGGCTCGCATGAGATGCTCAAGTTTAAGCCGCTTTTGCGCTGTGAATTGTCGATTTCAATGTTTGTTGCTCCTCCATGCCGCAATGTGATTTGCAGTGCCCCAATCCGTTTCCAGGCTGCGTCGTCAATGCTTTGCACATGTTTTGCACATATTGGCACTGCACCATGCCTTCGAGCGTTGTGGGCCTTTGCACAGGCAGCGACTTCCCGAGGCACTTTACCTTGAGATTGCCTCTATTGAGAGCAAATGCGGGATACTTGAGATGATACTTGATGACACCTGATGATACCTGCAGGGCTGGCCCATGGCGCCGTGCCACCCTTGAAGTCAGCTTCACAGCTCAGGGGCGGAGCTCGTGATTGTTTTTCGCGGTTTTCTTCAGTGACAGAGGCCCTCCCCTGGCCGGTCCCAGGCGTTGCGTTTTTGCAAGTTCTTGTATGGGACATCCCGGAACCTTCCCTTGCTCCCTTGCTCCCTTGCTTCGCTGCTTGCTTGGCTGCTTGCTTAGCTGCCTGCTTCGCTGCCTGCTGCGCTGCTTCGCTGCTAGGCGTTCAAAGCAGACGGCAGGTGCCCAGCGCGGTGTGCCAGAGGGGTGCGTATGCGTGTGCTTGGTCACTTGATCGAGACCTGCGAGGTGCTAGCCGCGTTTCTTTTCCGAGAGCCGCAGGCCGTTGAGATCGGTGACCCTCTTGCGTTGTGTGTTCCTGGCCCAATGCCTCTTCAGACCTGCGGAATCAGTACTGTGTGGTCGTGAAGTTGTGAAGGCAAAGTGCAAGAAGATCATCAATGATGCGCAGCTCACTTGCAGGTCCAGTGAGCGCGGTATAGCGCGGCATCATGCTCGCGACCGTGCCTCGCCAAAGGTGTAAATGTTGAGGATTCTTGATGCGATGCTGAGGTATTTCTGTGCCCAAGCCTTGGTATTTGGCAAGAGACGTCGTATGTCGTCGTATGTCGATGTCGTCGTCGTCGTCGCTCAGGCCAGGTCGCCAGACCTCTCCTCGAAGCCGAAGACGGATCCGACCTCACCTAGTCGGTTCAAGTTCTGTGGTTATGGGGGGATGCATTCGGGGGCAGTTAGCAGGCTCATAGGCTCGCAGGCCGTCGTAGGCTCATTAGGACAGCTGCTGTGCGGTTTCGGAAGGCGGCGTTGCTGACTGCTTCAGGAGCTGCCGCGCCCACTCGCCCGCGCCTTCGCCGAGCAGGCGGGTGTTCCATGTGTTCCGTGTTGGGTAGGAGGGGGCAGAAGAGCATCGAGAAGGGCATCAAGTCCACGTGGCTTTCTGCGTGGGCTTGAAATGTGGCTATAGGTCGGACTTGTGGGCGAGTTCTCAAAGCAGAGCACCTTCTACTTGAAGGAGGCCTCTTCCCGATAGCCCGATAGGCGCCGAGGAAGTCTTTTTGTTGGCAGATGCGCCTGGAGCGGAGGCGTCGCAGCTGATCGATCGGACGCGACATCGCCTGGCTGGGGTGGGCTGCTGGGCTGTGTGTGTGTGTGTGTGTGTGTGTGTGTGTGTCAATTGTTGCAATTGTTGCATTGTGTATGCCGCAACGTGTAGAGCCAGTGCCCGCCCTGCAGCTCCAGCACACCCTCGAGAAGGCAGACAAGGCGAGATGCGAGTGCAGCGTATCTGGGTAGTATCTTCGTAGCGCAGCTCAACAGCACCTGCTTGGAGCCACAACCGTGGAGCATCGCGGGGCGAGTGCGGAGCGCAACGCGTCCCAATGTAGGCGTAATTTTGCAGGGTATGAGGAACGATCCGCAACTGTACAGCAACGATCAGGATGTGTGCAGATCTGTGCAGGAAGGCTGGGGAGGCACAGGCAAACACAAAAGCACCGGGGCATGGGTCACTCGATGCCAGCACCATGGGCGCCTCGCTGGCCATGCTTCTCGGCGCTTTTTGTTCTTTTTTTGCCTTGTAGAGACGATAACACTTTAAAATTAGCAACATAAGTTTTTGTTGCTCGTCTAAGTTCTGTGAAGATCTCCGCATACATTCAGGTGCACTAGCTGCAGCATGGAGACCTACCAGGCGGCATATCCACATGTCTGGCACAGTCAGGGTGCAATTTGAAGTTGCAATAGCTCTCAGCACGTCTCTCAAAATATGCTTGTGCCCAGGAGAGGTCTCGTGCTCGTGTGTTACTTGCTTCAGAGTTGCAGGCAGGAGAATCTTGCAGTATTCGAGTTGTTGAATTCAGCCATTGTCGCCGATGCCAAGCACAGCCATGCACAGCCATGGCAGTCGTGTTGCTTGGCAGGCGCTGACAGCCAACTCTATGGTTCAGTTGGTGTGTTCCTTGAGGGGTTTGGTCACTCAAAGGCATATGCCCATGCCCTGCTGCGCCGTTGAGGACCTGACCGGAAGATCACTTGGAGATGCAGGCTCGGGACTTCGGGACTTCGGGACTTCGGGACTTCGGGACTTCGGGACTTCGGGACTTCGGGACCTTCCCCACCGAAGCGGCCTCTCGTTGGTCGTTTCTCACTCTCCAAGTCCCAGGTGCCAAGATCCTGTCGGATGCGCTGAAGGCAATGGGTGTTGGTGCATTGGGATGCCCCGATGCCCCATTCATGCCCCATTCATGCCCCGCCTTTTTTGACTGTCATGCGGCCGAATGTCATGCGGCCGAGTCGACTTCAGGAGTGTTCGTCCCTGACAAGCTTGAGCCGCCGGCCCAGTCCACCTAAGCCATTCGCTTCAACATGGGGCGCTTCAAAATAGCTTCCTCAAGAGACCGAAGATAACGATGGGAATGGGAGGGAACGATAAGACTTTGCCAGATTGACTTTGTTGGGGCCGCAGGCCTCCGCTGGAACGGCATCAGGGAGCAAGGAGCAGCCGCGGCTTGGCAGAGTTTTGGTTTGAAAGTCTGCAGAGACCTCCACGAGTTGCTCCTGTAAGAATCGCAGCACGCGCCGGCGTGACGTTGCGCAGCGGCCCATTTTCCCCGACTCCACCTTGCGCCTGTGCGAGGCGCTTGCAGTCGCACTCGAGTCTAGCAGGCTGACATGTGGGAGCCTCGGCGCAGCAGCAAAAAATCGTATTTCCGGCATTTTGCAACATCCGTGAAGCGATGCACAACATTCAGCAGACTGTGCTCTCCGTGAGGCCTGGACGTGTTCTGCAACTCTTTTGGAGACCGGGGAGCGGCCGCGATGGTCGAGGGCTCAACACGCACAAAGAGGGGTGCGCTCTCAGTGCTCTCAGTGCTCAGTGCTCTCAGTGCTCTCCCTTCAGTTCGTCCCTTCTCCTTGCGCCTCTCCAACCCTCTCCTTTTCTCTTTCTCAAAGGTGGCGCCTCTCCACTTGCCCCTCTCTCAGCTTCCGCTTCTCTCCTTACCCCCTCTTCTGTATTGTCTTTCCTCTCCCGTCTTTTTCAGCCCAAACGACGTGCAAAAAGGCCGCGGCGCTGCCTTCCAACGGCTCCCTGCGGAAGCTGGACCTGGGCCTGGGTGCCGAGAGCCTCTCAGCTCTCAGGAGCTACTGATCTTCTCCTCTCTCAAGAAGCAGAATGGGGATTCTTTCTCAGAGACTGAACTCTCACTTCTCTCAGATTTTTAGAGACTCTCAGAGACTGAGGACGTAGAATCAGCCTGGCAGACTCAGAGCCCCGAGCAGCCCCGAACATGATGCGAAACATGTGGGCCCTCTGACCCTCTGTAGGACTCCCTAAGGCCATCTAAGGCCCTAGGCGCGTTGTTGATAGCATTTGCCCAGGCTGGAACTCCATCGGCGACCCTGGGGCTGCAGGTGCCCCAGAGAAGTCCAGAGAACCATAGAGAACCCGTTTGTTCCGAAATGTTCCGAAGTGTGCCGAAATGTTTCGACATGTTCCGAATCTGTTCCGAATCCTTCGCCCTTCCTGAAACCCCGTTTCGGCCAAGCCGTCGAGATTCTGCCACCTTGGAGCTGGTGTAGCCTGCTGAGGCCACTCTTGCTGCATCCTTGAAGAGAAACAGCGTGCTCACGGAACTAGGCGCCCCGGTCTTCTCGTGGTCTGGGCGTGTGTCTCAATCAGTTTTTGGATCGGCGTCGGCTGGCAGCGCAGGGTTGGAGCAAAACGCCATTACGGGTGCCACGGCCCTTGCAGAGGACAGGGCAGCAGCAGCGCAAATGCAACTGCGTAGAACTGCTAGAACTGCGTGCAGCGTTGTCTTGGTTTGGTGAAGAGGAAGGAACTCTCGTTTGCATTTCAGTGCTCTCCAGGCCTTGATCTCGAAGGGCGGCGCCTGCATACGCCTGGCGGGCAACCCGCTGGAGGAGGTGCGCACCTTTTTGTTGTTTTTGGTCATATGTGTTTTTGTTCCACCCATATAAGAATATTTAGGAGTACTGTAGGCTCGAACGTGTAATGTCTCTGCTCTACACGATGCTCTACACCGTGCCCTCCTGCCTCTCGTCTAGTGGGCTTCGCTTGCTTCGAAAATTCGCTACATTTCTCTGAGAGCTTTGAGCTGTCTTTTTTCGAGAGCTTTCCTTTGCGGAGGAAAGCATCCGCGCTCTGGAGCTTTTGGTTCGCAATGGTCAGCTCGTGCCCCAGCAGGGGGCATCCTGCTGCTACCGGCTCCTCCATGCTCCAAGCTGAGGCTTGGTAGCCTGGATGTTTGCAGCGACAGGTGCGGTGGACTAAGGGTGCGTGTGTGTGTGTGTGTGTGTGTGTGTGTGTGTGTGTGTGTGTGTGTGTGTGTGTGTGTGTGTGTGTGTGTGTGTGTGTGTGTGTGTGTGTGGTTGTGTGTGTGTGTGTGTGTGTGTGTGTGTGTGTGTGTGTGTGTGTGTGTGTGTGTGTGTGTGTGTGTGTGTGTGTGTGTGTGTGTGTGTGTGTGTGTGTGTGTGTGTGTGTGTGTGTGTGTGTGTGTGTGTGCGTGCGTGCGTGTGTGTGTGTGCGCACCACAGCAGACGCAGAAACCCCATCGTTACCAACAACACCCGACTGTGTACCTAAAAGTTCAAATCGTTCGTCGGCAGCAGTTTTGACAACATATACATCTGTATATGGATATTCATTATATATATATATATATATATGATCGGCTTTAGAGCATGAGATACAAGCTTGGAGCGTTTTGCAGCCATCGTGGCTGAAAGAAGTGTGTGTGTGTGTGTAACCTGCTGTACATGCAGGATTGGGGTCACACCCGTTTTTTGATTTCATGCAGGGGGTCCCAGATCTGCTACTCATGCTGGGACCAACGAAGACCATGAGTAGCAGATGTGCAAACGTACCTGCTATGAGGAGTACTTGGGTGGTTGCGTCCGCAGCTGGTATCCTCAACGGGGACAGAAACCTCATCCCCGCAACGTGTTACATGTTGTCGTCAGCATGGCACTTCGCAGACGACAACATATGCCATTCCTGGTGTCTGGCACGACGACGACACAAGGGACAGAACCCGCATCCCAACGATCATTCCTGTGGTCTGATCTGGGGCCTGAAACCTAGCCGAAGCAATGACGACAATAGTCACTGACTATGCTTGATGTTGTCCAGTCGAATGTCCGTCTCATCAGTTCCAGACAAGTCAACGTGTGTATGGTTCTGGCGTGTTGTCCCGTCACGGGGCCAGATCCCAGAAGACCCGGGCACATCTGCAGTAGGCTTTGTGGCATGAGTAGGTAGATCATCACCACAACCAGAGGGAGTTCAGCAACACTTTACCAACATTAGCAGAAGAGACATGCTAACTCATGCACATGAACAACAACGACAGGAGGTGCAGAGGAAGACAGCATGCAGGATTGGGGTCACGCCCGTTTTCGATTTCATGCAGGGGGTCCCAGATCTGCTACTCATGCTGGGACCAACGAAGACCATGAGTAGCAGATGTGCAAACGTACCTGCTATGAGGAGTGCCTGGGTGGCTGCGTCCGCAGCTGGTATCCTCAACGGGGACAGAAACCTCATCCCCGCAACGTGTTACATGTTGTCGCCAGCATGGCACTTCGCAGACGACAACATATGCCATTCCTGGTGTCTGGCACGACGACGACACAAGGGACATCCCAACGATCATTCCTGTGGTCTGATCTGGGGCCTGAAACCTAGCCCAAACAATGACGACAATAGTCACTGACTATGCTTGATTTTGTCCAGTCGAATGTCCGTCTCATCAGTTCCAGACAAGTCAACGTGTGTGTGTGTGTGTGTGTGTCTGTCTGTCTGTCTGTCTGTCTGTGTCTGTCTGTCTGTCTGTCTGTCTGTCTGTCTGTGTGTCGGTGTGTCTGTGTGTCTGTGTGTCTGTCTGTTTGTCTGTCTGTGTGTCGGTGTGTCTGTGTGTCGGTGTGTCTGTGTGTCTGTGTGTCTGTGTGTCTGTGTGTCTGTGTGTCTGTGTGTCTGTGTGTCTGTGTGTCTGTGTGTCTGCGTGTCTGTGTGTCTGTCTGTCTGTCTGTCTGTCTCCGTGTGTCTCTTTGTGTGTCTCTATCTCTGTGTGTGCGCGCGCATGCATGTGCTTTGTTTCTGTGAGGGTTTTCCGACGCTGAGAAGATGGCCATGCCTCAGCAGGTGCTACACCGACCGCGCCTCATTGAGTAGCGAGCTCAGCATTATGCACAGGACAAGGTCGACAACTCCCGAGAGACACTGTTCTTGACAGCCTGCGATATGCCAAGGCAGTGACCTGGCGGAGGCAGAGCGCTTGGAAGCCTTGCGCTTTGCGGGGGAAGTCGCAATACCAGGGGCGGATGCCTTTGGGCTGAATGGCGGCTAACAGCTTGGCGACGTGCCTACGTGGATCTTGTTTTTTCGGATTCGTTGGGCACCCGTCTCGGCGTCCAGAGCAGTCGACTGCCGTCGCTCCCGGTGGGGATGTCGAGTGTCCCTTGAACGATCATGGGCTTCTGTTGCGTTCGCACGGCGATGGCCAGCTGGGACATGCAAGATCCAGCTCCCGGCCGAGATTCTGCAAGACGGCTCCTCGATTTCTGGTCGCTGAGCTCCTTGGAAGAGAGCTACTTCCAAAACCCCTCAAGACGAAGGCGGTCCTCCGAACACGTGCTGCCTTGTTCAAATGGTGTTACTCAACAGCGTTGCAGGAGGAAGGAAAAAAAAGGTGGTCTCTCACAAGAGCGGCGCTTCTTGTTTTGTCTCCTTCTTTCTCTCTCTCTGTCTTTCTTTATTTCTCTCGCTCTCTCTCTCCCTCTTGCTCTCTCTCAGTTCTCTCAGTTCTCTCAGTTCTCTCAGTCCTCTCAATTCTTCAATTCTCTCATATGCCTCCCCATTTGATCTTGTCTTCTTTTCCTCCGGCTGCAGGCTGGCCTGGTTGGCAGGATCGGGGGTGCAGCCGGTGTGCTTTGAAGGTCTCTGAGAGTGCTCCTCTCGAGTTTGCGGTGTGTTCATTCACGGCTAGCCATTTTGGATGAGGGACGTGCCACGAGATGACTGCCCCCCCCCCCACCCCCCCCAGAACCAACAACACATTGGACTCATTGGACTGCATGACGCTTCAAAGTCCCTTCAGCAGAGAGCTCTCCCGACATCTTTCAGCTTGTAGACGGACCGCAGACGAACGACCCCCGACATCCCTAAGCCCAACGGTTTTTGATTCTTGCTATCAGGTGACAGAATCCAAAGAACGTAAGGAGGTGCGTAGAGGTCTTGAGGCCCATGTGCGACCAGATCGATGGGGGCCGCTTGTGGGCGTGCCAGTCTACCCGGCCTACCCGGCGACTCTCAGGCAGTCGACAACACCGCACAACAGTAGACACCAGTGGACACGTGTCTTGATGGGAAAGCTTGTTTGTCCACTTGCTGGCTTGTTCCAAGTTCGTCAGGCCAACCGGAACTCCGTCCGCAAAGCGCAGCGCATAGCTTACGCGGAGGGCTGAGTTGTCGCAACCCCGCCCCATGATTGAGAAATTCAGCCTGAGAACGGTTCCTCACAGGGGAGGCACCCTGGTTGTTGCTCAAATTGTAAACGGGCCCTAGAGGAGGCAAGCGGCCTTCCGTCCCATGCCCCCCCATCGCTGAGGTCTGTGACGTGGAGGGCCACTGGGACTTCTTCTGCAACTTTGTTGAGCTCTGCGACGGGGTCAAGTTCAAGCTGCCGGGGAATGTGCCTTGCCTCCCTCTTTGTGATCATTGCATAAATTGCGATCCCTGTTGTTTCAAGCGTGGTGCACTGCAACGCGCCCAGTGATGCCCCGTGCGCACCAAGGACGGCCGAAAAGCCCGGACCTCCCAAGAGCTGGACTGCCACATCGCCCTACACATCAGCCCAATAAAGCACAATTAATAGACAATTAAGCACAAGACCCGCCGAATCTGATTTTCGTGCTTGCCCGTTGAGCCTGTGCCGCAAGGAGCTGGAGCTCGCCGAGGGCTGGATTTTTGTCTTTGGTGGGGATGCCTGTGACAAAGGCGATGCTTCGCTTTTCGTTCCCGGAATCGCCTACAGCTGCATGTAATTGCATGTAGCCGATGTAGCCGAGCACTTCCGCCGTGAAGGTCCCGGGACGCTCCGCTTCCTGGAGGCCATGGTGATGCTGAAGAGGCTCTTCGTGAGAGATCGTGAGACTTGCTGCCGGAGAAGCTGTGCTGACTCCGCGGCTGATTCCGCCCTCTGCAGGAGATATCCCTCAAGGGTGTTCCTCATCCTCGGCAACCGGGTGGTTGCCCCAGCATCCCAGCAGATCTCCGGTGGCACCTTAGACCCCGCGTTTCGAGCTGAGGACCTGAACAAGATGAGGTGGACCTCGGAACTCACACAGTCGGAGCTGAGACGCATCAAAGAGGTCGAGCTCCAAGCATCCGAGAGAGCACATGCCAAGAGCACTTGCCCTGCAAGCCCCCCGCCTTTAGGGCCTCGTGGGACTTTTGTGGGACTTTTGGGCCGTTTTTCTTCACTTTCTGTTTGTGTGTCTCGCTGCAGGGGTGTGTTTTCTTTGACGGATCGCGTACAAGCGAAGCAAAGAATGGGCGATGCACGGAAAACTCTCATCCACAGCGGTTTTTGTTATTGAGCATCTTCTCGTGTTGTTTGCAAACGTCGCCTAGCGCCACGGCACGGGCACGTCGGAGTTCCTGCAGCTACTCCGTGTGGTGCTATGCGAGGGTTGGGTCCCAGATAGCTACGATGTCTGGCCTGCATGGCTTTCTTGGAGTTGGATTGACTTGCAGGGCAACGGAAGGGAACCAAGCAAGCAACCGAGCGAAGCCTCAATCTTCGTCTGCATACGCTCTGCAAGACCAAGATGAGAAGATGAGAGCAGATCGCGTCAATTCGTACCATATGAAGCAGACAATGCTATCTAAGTTAATATTGCCTGCGAAAGGAACCGCATAACTTGCAATTCGCGTGGAAATCTGCCAAAATGCAGAAGTGGTACACATTGCATGCCCATGGTCTTGTTGTTGGGCATGGCTCCAGCGCTTGAGGTTCGAACGCATGCGCGCTTCCGGAAAACGAGACCCAGGGCTTCCGTTTTGATTTGCAGTTGTGGTGTGAAATCGGGGGGCATCCCCAGTCCCAGAAAGCAGCCATGAAAAGTTCAGAAAGGGGAAAAATGAAAAAGCAGAACAAAAACATGAAAAGCAAAGGCGCCTCTGACAGGATGTCCACCGTGAGTCTTTGGCCGCTTGAGGTGCCTCGGGCCTTTTGGCAGTCGCGCCTTCCTGGCAACTGCCTGGACCTCAGAAAGAGGCGAAGTGAATGGATCGTGCCAGTCTGGTGGTTGTGGAGGTCGACTGAGTCGAACGGCTGCCGAGGTCCCACACACTGGGAGTACCTCAGAAGAAAGGTTGCGCAGGAAGAGGGCTTGAACGAGGCCAGAGAGACATTGCCTGCAGCAGAAGGGATGTCCCTAGCATACCTCCTGACAGGATGAGGTCACCGAAAGGATGATCGAGAACCGCAACACCAAAGCAAACAAGCCTCCAGGGGGCAGTTAGGTTGTGTTTCCCCTGCGCCCAAATTGGGACTTCAGCCGGTGCTTTTGAAAAAAATATGAGATCCGCTCGAGGTTGCGGTACATGCTGGACTGTGACATGGGATCCGTAGGAGACTTTGAGTTCAGACGGGAGGCTGGGCGCATGCCTTATCCCCATGTTGACCAACTCCCGCGGTCACGACCGCGCACGCGCCCCATGACGAAAGGAGCTTGCACATCTCCTGAATGTGCGCAAAGAAGACGTCACGGATGAGGCTCCTTCTGCTCGCATTGGAGCTGCACCGAACAACCCTCTGGAGCAACATACGTTGACACAATCGGCCCGGAGGAGGAAGAAGGGAGTCCAAGCCTGTGCCGCCAGGATGTAGTCGAGAGCTACGAGCGCAGCGTCGGTCCTGGTGGTGTCATGAGGCCAGGGGAACGAGAAGGGCGGAAGGAGAAGGGCGGAGAAGGGCGGAGGGAGAGGAAGGGAAGGAGGAAGGGAAGTGGCGCACGTCCCCACATGGACCACAGCTCCAGGAAGTTCCTGAACCTCGGGCAGCTGGCTCTCTTCGTTGACGGGACTCTCTTCGTGCATGGCCAGGCCAAAGCAAAAAGTCGACGTGAGTTCCCAAGCTCTCTCGGGATCTCGATAGGAGTGCTTCTGCTTCTTTCGAGTTGTGTCAGAGCGCTGTGCTTGCAGATCATCGGGAACCAGTTCCCGTCTGAGCAAGTCATAGGCCCGGCCACTTACATGGGGGCAGTGCGCGCCGTGCGGGGTGAGAGCTCTCGACCAACACTGACAAGGGCTGAGGAGACAAAGAGACTTATTCTGTTTGGGGGTCTTGAGAGATGGCTTCGGGTTCTTGAGAGGCTTTCTGGATTGTGTGGAATTGTGTGCCCCTCTCATCCACTCTCAAGCGCCTAAATCCTTTTGTCCTGCGAAGGGGCAGACTTCGAGAACACCGCCTGGAGCGTGGGCGTGATACCCGGCCAGGACGGAGAAACCGGAACCGTCTGCTCTTCCTCCCTTTCCATTTCCTCTCCCTCTGCCTCTTTCTTCCAAGTCGGCTCGGAGTTGCTGGACTGGCCTGGAAAGCCCCAAACTGCCCCCCGGGGGGGCGGGGTGTGGGGGTTCCACACCGTTCTCTCTCTCTCTCTCTCTATCTCTCTCTCCTCTCTTGCATTCTCTCTCTCTGTCTCTCTCTCATTCTCTCTTTCATTCTCTCATTCATAGCATACATGCAGACAAGCAAGAAACGCCACCTTATCTTTGTGAGGGGTGTGGAAGACATTTTTCATTCGGCGAAAGCCACGCAAAACGCATTTTTTTAGCCCGCATCCCGGACGACCACACGGTTCCAAGTGATTCCCACCACCTGGGCGCAGCGTAAGAGCCTGCTGACGGAATCGTACGAGTGATTCAGCCCGCGGTTTGTAATCGTCACTCCAATTGTGACGCCAAGTCTCAGACCCAAGACGGTTCATCGACCATCGCAGCTCTGTCCTACGAAAACAAGTTCGACCAGTTTCTCATCGGGGAGGATATCGGAATTGTGACTGCTCGTTGGATGATTGATTGTTTGTTGTCAACCGAGGTGGTGGGTCACCGACTCGCTATCAGGCATAAGCTCTTTCATGATTCCGCTTTCGAGGAAATGCCAAAAAATCCTGGTATGCCAGACACGCGTAGGACTCAGCCGAAGGGATCCTGGCTCTGTTTGCCCGAAGCGCCAACTAAAATGTCCCTTCTTCCGCGTGTTGCTCTGCACGTTGCGCCTCCCGCATGTGCAGTTCCCCTGGACACCTTTCGCGGTTGTTTGATCGGCGCTTGTATTAAACTCTTCTCTTCTCTCCCTCCCTGTGCCTCTGCCTCTGCCTCTTTTGTTGTCTCGTTGGCTGGACTTGTAGGTGGGTTCACACGCATTCTGGCAGGAACCGGAGGACGACTTGCAGCGACCCGGGCAGCACATGTCTGGGCTCAACATGCTGATACACCGAGACCTCAAGCTGCTGAAGTTTCACAAAGCAGTTTGCACGTCGGCTCGCGGGTTGCCATGCCATCCAGGAAATGGATTGCCAAGCTCAACAGCTGGGCAGCGGCCGAGATCAGGTGCCCTTGTCCAAGAGTGCACATCGCGAGTCGATGCGAGTCGGCTAAGCCACAGGTAGCCACCTTGTGGATGTTTAACATCTAGGGACTTTCACAAGTCTCACATCTGCCAGGGATTGGCAGCATCGGCCCCAGTGGGAGGTGCCGCCTCGAGTGTCGACCTTCGAGCTCCATGGCGTCAGGTTAGTTTTTCAGACACCCCAAGCAAGCCCTCTGAGCACGCCCTCTGACCGCGCCATACAAAAAGCATCCCAAAAGCTGCTCCCACGAGCTCTTCTTTAAGAAAGCT